CAGGCTCCCAGCACCTGGAACTYCACTCTCCTCTCAGAAAATGGTGTTGCCGTTGAGCAGCCTGAGCCCTGTTTCCTCAAAGACAGAGAAGGGTGAGAGTGGGTAGGTGGGGGCTCCTATCCCCTCAGCAGCTGGAGGAGAGGCCACAGTAGTGTCGCAATGAAACCTTGGTTCCATGAGGTTCCATAGCATCACAATGATCTCCTGGGTTCCATAAGAGCCCACTGTGTCACACTGGTCCCTWGCTTCCATGAGCCCATGGAGTCTCCCAGTGGGCCCTGAGTTCCATGAGTGGGTGGCTGGGTTGGGCTGGTTCTTCTTTTGGGCAGGGGTGTTGTTGTGCTCCAACCGTGGGGAACTGCGAGGAGTTATTTGAAAATGGATGGTCGAAAACGAAATGAAGTCAAACGAGACAAACTTTGTATCTGAGAACCATTTATTGGTAATGAAAACCGAAAGAAGCAGGTGCCCACTAAAGGGGGCTGGAAAAGACAGCGAAAGGGAAATGGAAAAGGAATGGGGAGAGAGAGAAAAGAGACAGAGGGAGAGAGCAGGCGTTACTATCAGTAGGACCGGGGGGTGCTGTCGGTGTCCATGTGGCGAGGGTGAGCGCGCTGCTGCCGGAGGGAGAGCAGCTCAGGGAGAGGAGCGGCCCCGTGGTGATGGGCTGCTGGACGCATGGGTGAGTGGACATTCGGATGATGGGCTGCTGGACACACAGTGAGTGGACACTCGGACAGGTCCGGGACCCTGGGTGGAGTGGAAGCGAGCATCACGGAGGCGGGCGAGGTTGGAGGCAGGCTAGTGGCACAGGCAGGACAGGCGGCGGCTGGGTCAGCGAAGGGCCGGGGCGAGACAGACGCTGCACGGGAGGCTTGGAGGGCAGACGGTGTTCTGCTAAGCGCCCAGGAGGGAAGGCAGATACGTGGGGGAGAAAGAGAGCTAGTGAGGGCAAAATCCAGGCAGGCTGGAGCTGGGGCAAAAAGGACCCCTCAGCAGCAAGCCCACCAGCAGTGAGCAACAAAGAGCAAAAAAAACCCAGCCACACGCACAGAGACAGACAACCACCTCCAACTCAGCAAAGTCCGACTCCAAAATCCAGCTCCTCAAAACTCAGCTCCYCGAAGGCTCATGGCGCAGTTGATTTTTTTTATACCTCCTGAGTCCTCCCAAAGTCTGCCTGCTGACCAGGAGACCATTGGTCCAGTCCAAGCTTCTTCCATCGGTGGAGCCCTTCCACCATCTGATTGGAGAAATGTCTCTGGGGGGAGCAGTGTCTCCAGGTCTCCATGTGAGATGTTGCCAGGCGAAATCCCCCCAGAGACAAGGCTTCATCCATCTCCTGTTTGCCTCCTTCCCCCACATGCCTGTAACAAGCAGTGTTGAGGCAAACCAAGATTAAAATGGTTCCTCCCAGGCGTGTTGGCTTTTCGTAAAATATGCTAAGGATTTGAAGGTGTTATGGGTGTGGGGAGCACTGGCAAAAGCCTTCATGCGGGCAGAGCGGCCCTGGCCGGGCTGAGGGAACCGGCAGCGACTGCTTGAAGACGGAGCGGTGGCACAGGAGCCTCAGGGCTGCTGAGCACCAGGAGCGGCCGCGCTGCCCTGGAGCCGAGCTGGGAACAGAGAYGGCCTCGGGCCGCTGCCGAGAGAGGRCAGCTATTCATTCTCGCTGCCGCCGCAACCCCTGGCGGGCTCTTTCCCGGAGCATTCCCGGGGAATGCAGAGCTGTGGGAAGAGCCCGGGGCTCAGGGGCGGCTGCCAGGGCTGTGCCAGGCAGGCTGGCGTGCGGAGCGAGGACTGACGGGGCCTCGGGGTCATTGCTGGGCTTGGCCCCGGCTGGGCGGGCTGGGGYTGCTGCCGAGAGCCGCCGCCGTTCTCCGGGAGCTCCCCGGGAAGGGCTCTSTGCTCGGCGCCGAGGCCCGGGCGGCTCGGGGAGCGCTTGGCGGCCCGTGGGTCCCCAGCACAGGGAGGTCTCTGTGGCCGGGCCGGCGCCTTGTCCGCAGCGGGGCCGAGAAGAATAAGCAGGCCCGGCCGTGGCCTTGCGAGGCCTGGGAGTGCTCAGGAAACTGGGCTGAACTAGTGTGGTGGTTTGAATGAATTCAATGGGAGCAAAACACTCCCAAGTTCCAGCAAACCCCCTCCCCCCTCTCTTTTCTCCACCCGGGTCCTAGAGACAACCTTTTCCACAGAGAGGAAAGTGAAAAGAAAAGGGGGAAAAAAACTATTTATTTAAAAATTATATAAACACAAAGAAAAAAAAAACCAAACTGTGGAATCAGCTGTTAGATCCCAAAGCCTTTCTCTTCCCTCCTGGGAGTAGCTTCCCCTCTGGGCCCCCAGAGGGGTTGGACAGAGTCTCTCTCCGATAGTTCACTGAAGGGTCTTTCTCCCTGCTGTGCCACGAGAATCCTCCAATTCTCAGATGACGAAAAGGAAAAAAAACAAATTCGAGGAAAAACAAGTCCAAAGAAAGGCAGAAAAAGGAGCAGTCCCAGGAAGAGCAGCTTCTTTTTCCACCGCTGATCCCGAGAGAGCCTCCCGAGAGAAAAAAAAAGGTCTGTGTCTTGTCCCTTTCCCTCCCATTGTCCTTGAAGGGAGGAACATCACCAAACAAACCAGAGCAGTCTCGACTATCATGTRTAGTTACAGAAGGGTTGTTTAACTTTCCTCTAACATAAGCAGATGATAGGAATACAATACTCAGCTAACCTAGGACAACTAGGCTTGGAGGGAAAAGGCTGAGAGAGAGTGGTTAAAGCGTTTTCACAGATCCACTAGGATACTCAAAAGCACCATGTTGATGCCTRTATAACTTGAGTCAAAGTTACAAGATGTTTATACAACTTGRTTTATAAAATAMCTATGTAGCCTGAATTCTTTAAATAATTATATAACCTGAATTAAAATTTTTAATACTTATATAATCTGAATAATAKCTTTCTATGCAATGTAATAGCCAAATGTAGTTAACTAGTTATTTAATGCTTAAGTAAGCAAAAAGTCACCAGAGGGACAACCTCGAAAATAGATAAGTATAGCTAATTGGGAAATGGCAAGATGTACTAATGAGAAATTGGTAGGGGTAAAGCCAATTAGCAATGAGATGAACAATTTAGACCAGTTAGATTTAGAGACCCCAAGGAACACCATAACTGCATGTGCTGTGAAGGAAAAGTTTAAAAAATCAAATGCAACAAAGATCTTGAGCCTTCAACAAAGAAGATCCCCAAGACCACCTAAATTAGGAAAGTGCAAGTGCGTTACAGAAAAACTATTTATAATCATGAGGCAACCTCATGTAAATTAGTTSTGGACACGTATATGATGATGTTATGCTGACATAGCAATATTRAACAATACTTATTGTATAAATAGGCCACAACTTCACAAAGGTGGGTGAGTTAGGCAAAGATCCCCCTCGCCTCCAGCGCTGCAATAAACARATACTTGTTCTATAGAYACCAGTCTATAGGGTTTTATTTCTAGCCTTTCCTTTCGGGTGTCAATGTGCTGTGTGGTCTGTTACAAACGGTGTCCTAGTGGACGGTGATCCCTTTAAGATGCTTTTAATTAAGAGCTGATTTAAACTTTCCCGTCAGCCTGTAAAAAGCTTTTGTTGCTCTGGTAGCTCCCAGTTAGTCCGTGGTGCCTGGCTGGTCCATGTTTCTGGGGCACAAACACCTGCAGAAGGAGCTTGGCCCTCGGCGCTGCTGGTACTGCTCACAGAGTCTCCTTGCAAAGGGGATCCAGGGAGATCCGCAAGCAGAGGTGCCCCAGTTTCACACCATYGCTCTCTGGGACTTGTTCTGGAGAAGCAACCTTCTGAGGACTCAGATCTTGCTGTAACTATGGGAAGATACTAACTATTGCAGCATAGTGAAGCCACTTGCCTCCAATTAAGAGRATTTGTTKAAGATTTTCCAAAGTCCGTGTTGTGACTTGATGACCTGTGGAGAGCATCTTTGTGTGTTCGTGCAGGTCTGCCTATCACAGATGAATCATTGCTACTGAGTGTCATGAAACCTTTCCTGATAAAACCAACTCCATGGCAAAACAATGCCATCTCCAAAGAGCAATAATTCTTCCTTTCTCTGCCCTACACATTTAAGGAGCTCAGATTTTCACAAAGAGGTTACTTTCTACTTACTCCTTGAACAATGAACAAAGGTGCATTTCTCTCTTTGCTTTTGGAGGTGAGAATCCTCTATTGCAACTAGTGCAGTCTCAAAAGAGTAACAGGAAAAGAAAGAACTTTGAAATCTGAGAGGTTTTGCATTTCCCACAACTCCCCTCTTCTGTAAAGGTCCATGTGGCTTACATTTCTAATTTAAATGCAGTGTAGTGAAATTTAAACAACTGAATAAAATTTAAATTGAAATTCATACAACTCATATTCTATACTATTAAATACAATTTAATAAAACTGACATTTAAACAAATACAGCTTAAAAGTTTACATCAAATACTATTTAAATTGAAGTTATAGAACTTAAAATTAATACAAGTAAATCCAAATTAATGCAATGTAAACCTTATATAACTTAAATTAATGCATGTAAATACTATTTACTGTCATTTAAATTTAAACKGCTTCAACTTAGTTATATGCAATTAAATATAATTTAATACAATTTAAAGATATACAGCCTAAAATTAATTCAAGTAAATACTGTTCAATATAATTTAAACTAATACAACAAAATTTATACAGTTAAATACAGTTTAATACAATATAAGTTTAAACTCATACAATTTAAAATGAATACAAGTTAATACAARTGAATACAATTCTGAATTTTAATTCATGCATCTTAAAGTTAATGCAAGTCAACACTACTTAATACCACATAAATTTAAACCAACACAACAAAACTAATACAATGAAATATAATTCAATACAATTTAAATTTAAATTAATACAATGTCAAGTAAATACAATTTAAAATGGTATTAATATATATTAAATTGATATCAATAGCTACAAAATACCTACAAAATCAACTATTTGCAAAAATTATATGTCTTTTTTTTGGCCCTGTGGTCAAGCTTCGTGGGCTGGGAATGAACATGTTTGTATTTTCCAGTCTCAAATATTCCTGTCCCCTYGGAGTCCAGTTCCTGTTTTCCATTCCAGATGTTTGCAGCCTTGGGGCCCTTAAGTAATGCTCTTCTCCTTCCCTCAAGTACTCTTCGATTAGTGCCACCTGCAATTAGAAAGAAGTCGTGTCACAAGTAAGTCCATTTGCCTCTACAAATACTTCAAAAGCTTCTGCAGTTCGTTGATTTCACAACCAATAGTCATTAGAAACAAAAATACATGAAGATTTCTCTTGGGCAGCTGGCTGCAACAGTGTTACCTGACTTGGTCATTATTTTTGTTTTCTCCATTTATGTTTGGATTCAATTACTTCATTGCTGTGGCATAGACTCCCTTCACACAAAGGTTTCTCTGCTCAACATAYGGACCCTCCATAATGGGAAGATCTAAAGAATCAATCTGCCAATTGCATTTTGAGCTGAAATAATATTAAAAAACAATCCTGCTCTGCAGGACACAGGCATTCAGTGGAGTATGRCTTCTTCAGGCACAGTACGGAAGAATGGACTGGGCATTAATCCAAGCATGGCTTCCTCTTTTATTGATTCATGTCCTGAGTTGTCCCTGAAGTGCTCCTCAGCCCTGGCCTGACAGGSCTGGATGGGAGCTGTGCCAGACACTCTGACCATGGTTTAGGTGGTGAGGAGGATGARTTTGTGACTCACAGAGAGGCAAGCAGGAAAGTTTATGCACAATCCCAGCTGCTGCCCTGGGGTGCTGAAGGCAAAAGGAGCCTGGGAGAGAAGTTCTGTCCCCTCCTTCTACCCAGGGAACTGGAAAGTGAGACCTGTTCAGGGGATGGGCTGTGCATAGCACCATGCATGATGCCATGGAAAAGAGTTTTCTGCTGTGCTGGTGAAACTTGATAGGCACTTGTGCCTGGGCTTTGGCTCCTTTGCTGCCAAGAGATCCATTGCCACAGGAGCACAGGGAGCTTGGAGTTCTCCAAAGAGCCTTGTGGTTTGGTTCTGCTGGGRTGTGCTCAGCATAGAAACACAGAGGATTAGGGAGAGGATTCCTGGTGCCAACATTGTTTTGAAGAAGCTGAAATCAAAGCCTAGGAAACCATGGATTGGTCAAAACAACATGGGAAATCTCAGAAAGACATCCTATAGTGCAGTCCAGGGCTTGGCCCTATTAACCACAACCACTGAGCCCCAGGACTGTTCTGCTGCAGACCGAATTAAAATGTCTGCATGACTTTCCTCTGCAATTAAAAGTATCCATTCTGGGTTTGGGGTAATGCTGGTATCTGAGTGAGCACAAAGGGTGGAAAGAGGAAGGCAAATGGGTCCTGGCTGATGAGTGGGGTGTGGAGTGAGGGTAAAGGGGACACTGGAACAGCAGCATGATTTACAGCAGTTCCCTTATGACTATCCAGCAAAGTCTGCACTGCTGGGGATGCCACCAGAAAGGAGGGAAGGAATGATCTTCCTACCTAGAACCATGGTTTGACATGGTATGTCTGTGCTTTTCCTATTTATAGAGTAACTGTCGACTGCAGCCCCGCAAAGAACTAATGTGGCCCATCATTTACTGACATCATCGCACTGTTCCTGCCGCAGCTGATCAGCTGCCATGGTGTTTGCACAGCAGGGATGCAATCAGACCCTCGCTGACTCCCAGGCAAATCCCAGACTCTCTGGTGCTGGTGCCTGAGCACAGACAGAGGTCAAGGCAAGGAATCAGGTTTCACCTGACACCTCCCCTCTTTTCTGCCTTTTGAACAGACCAGCTGCAGGGGCATTTCCTGCTCAAGGAACAAACGGCTCTSCTGCCCTTTGCTGCAGGCTTTTACCTTCTGTATTTTAGTCCACACACGCTCTCCAGTTCTTCCTGCAAGGATGTCCACAGCATCTGCCATCAGTGACTGCAGCTGTGGTACCAAGATATAAACAATCAGCATGGAATTCACATTGAAATGAATTCTCTGAATCCACAAATTAAATCCTAATTCAAATCCTTTGCACTCTGATGTTTTTGTGGCTCATCTTTCACACAGCGAGCCTGCCAAACTCATCTTTGCTTCAGCCCTTGCACTGCATTCTTGTGGATTTAAAATACTGTAGTGTCTTGCCGCAGTCACCTTCCAGGGTAGTCCTGGCATTGCCTAACCCTGCCCCCTTCCCAGTCCCTGGAACATGCTCTCAATTTAGTGACAGAGAGATAAGGGTCGGACCCAGGGTGTCCTGCCCTTAACATCAGTGTTTAGGAACAAACTGGGGAAAACTGGTACTTGAGACGTGTGCTATTGCTGCACTGTAAAAAATTCTCTTCCAAAATGTTGAGTTAGTTAAAGTGAATCCAAACAAAAGTTTTTGGTGTCTCTTCCCAAGTGTTTTACTCATGACAAGGAATTAACATCTACTAGCACTATGTCTGTAGATATCTTCATTCCCAGGTCTGCCCCAACACAGTTGGAGACGCAAGGCTTACCCAAAGGTGTCCTTTCAGGGGAGGAGGAGAGACACCATCCATCCATCCATCCATCCATCCATCCATCCATCCATCCATCCATCCATCCATCCATCCATCCATCCATCCATCCATCCATCCATCCACTGATGCAGAACAAGGAGATATTTCCCCCTCCTCTTTTTTTCCCAACCTCCTTGGATACCATCACTTCTGTCCTCGTTGGCTCCAGCCATCATCCCATTGCTGACCCTTGCTCAAGCTGGGTTGGGTCAGCCAAGGGCCCAGTCCGTGTTTTTCAACAGCCTCACGCATTCTTCACCAATTTGGGGCACCTCTGCAGCAAGTCTGACAAATTACCACCAGCAGTCAGATAGGTTTGTTCCAACACAGGGAGCATGTGGTGTATGGACTCAGCATAGAAAATCAGTTTTCCCTCCTTTCCCCCTCTCCTTCTCATCTATAAATGGATCCAGGCTGTTTTACTGCAGGTGCCTTCTGATGTTAGAGATGTACARGCAGTATGATCTGAATCATTGCAATCATTTTCCCRGACTGATTTGTGTAGGTGTTGGGGAAAGAAGGGACTTTCAATAGATATGGACAGGTGAGTCCTGGTGGTTCTATCAGTCACCCTTGGAGGTGATCAGCATCTCCTCTGGCAAAACACTGAAGGAGGATTTGAGAATTCTTTCAGGTCCCCACACTGGACAAAGGACTTCCAGAGCACTTGGCAGCAGCAACAGAACTCTGCCCTGGCCTTTCTCACCCTGGCTCACAACCTGCAAAGGCCRAAACAAACACTGGAAACCAAAACCTACCAGCTTGTCATCCTCCTGAGAGACTCTCTGCAGGTAAGGAACAGTCGCCAGCTCAGCCATCGCCTGGGCCATCACCTGGGCCTGTTGCTCCCCTCTTTGAAGGTGGCTGAGCAGGCTGGCGTGATGGAATTGCTCGATGGCCCGTGCACATGGGCCACGCTCATCCTGTTTGCCCAGGAAAGAGGAGGTGAGAGGGGAGGCACAGGGAACACACAGATCCTTGGAGTGCTGTGCCTCAAGGCTTCTCATCTGTGTTGGTACTGGTCCTGCTCTCAGCAGTGTGCCGTCCAGCACCTTGCAGACCATGCTGCTGRGACAGGCTTTAGAGAGGCCACAAAAAGACTTTCTTGCTACAAGCTCTCTAGGAAGGAGGTCAAGAAGATAAAGATGTCATCATGATAGATGGGAAGGGGAGACAGCATATAACAAACACAAACGCAGTTTTCTCCATATGGAAAGGGCTTTTCCATATTCCCCTCCATTGAGCATCACCTGACTTGCCTGCATGGCTTTTCCAGTCTCAGGGAAAAGGCTGAGGAAAGCATTCAGGGTGTCAGCTYATGGTTTGGGTGCAGACAGGCCAATCAGTTGTTTCAAAGGCAAAGCCTGGAGGAACTCAAACCTGCAGAGGTTGTCCCTGGCCTCCAGGCAGCCAGGAACATGACAGACTTTAAGCATGTTCAAGCTTTCTCTTCCCATCTCAGCTAGGGTGATGTGTGTGTGGGTACAAATAATGCCACAAACTGCAGGCTATGTGGCAAAACCACAGGGGGCAGAATTAACTACTCTGAAGTATTGACATGGTTTAACGAGCTTGGCTTTAGCCCTCAGCTGGTTTGGTCAAACCAAAGAACAAGWAGTTGGATTGTATGTTGCAAAGGAGGAAGAGGGCAGCATAAACAAATGTTTGTTCTGTTAAACCTCAAATATATTATTTTATCCCCTCCAAGTAAGTTGTAATGCTTGAGTCTGTAGCTGAAGTATGGCAGTTTTTAATTTAGCTTTTGTGTGATGGAAGTATGATTGAATCCTATTTCTAGCTTGAAGACAATTGTGGGATATTTGGGAGGATGCAAAAGAGGCCCAATCTCTGCCAGTGCCATAAAGAGACATAAGTCCCCAGCAGCAGAGCAGCTCTGGCTCTGTGCCCATCTCTATTCCCAGGTAGAACTGACACTGCTCCTTGGGTCAGAGGTTCAGTCTTGCTGGGATCACTGAACACTCTGAAAACTGAAGGGAAAGGGAATATTTTTCCCCTGACAGTGGGTGTGGAACTGGCAGCTGTTTGTTCCAACTCAGTTAATTTCTTCTCTCTTGGGCTCTCCTCCTCTCAATGACAGCTCCCACGCCAATCCCTGGGGCGGGTTATGAATCTGTAGACCTCTGGTTCAGCCCMGTTCCCTGTTCTTGCTGCTGTGGAGGTTGACAGGGGTAGCCCTTGCCTGAAGCATGAGGCTGCTGTGCTAACCTCCTTGAGAAAAAGGTCAATTGGCTGCTGCCTTCAGCAGGTGCTGAGRTTTCACCCTTGGTTTTCAGGAGGTGCACTTCTGTTTCAGCTAGAATCTTTAAAAGTCAGAGGGGAGGTGTAAAGCTGGTAAAAAATACTGGTGTATGGGAGCAGTGTACATTTGTRTAGTGGGGACTGGCTTGGGCAATTCTAAGGTAGCACTCTGCTCTCATGTCTGACAGTGTGAGTTTCTTTTCCCTGTGCCCTGGAAACCAGATCTCTCTGCTTATCTCTGTTTGACCTCTGTAGTCCTGTTCCTCAAAATTCATTTACAGAATAGAGGAGTCATGGGAAATGCAAAACCTGTCTGATTTCAAAGTTTTTTCTCTTCCTGTTACTCTTTTGAGACTGCAGTTGCAATAGAGGATTCTCACCTCCAAAAGCAGAGAGAATTGGGGGGGGAGGTCAAAAAAACATTAAAAATGGCAGTTTTTCTGGGGCTATCAGAAGGACCAGGATTGTATTGTGTATCCAGTATCCCACCCACACTCTGTAGGTGTAGCTTCTGGAAGTGCATTTAAGGCAATTCCCCCAGCAGGATCAGATCCTCCCCTTTGTCAAAGCTGCCAGTTGCATTATTCTGCACATCAGGAACTTGGGCTTTTGTTCATCTAAAGCCAAGAGYAAAGGGCTTCAGGAAAAGAAGCAGCTGCATTTCCTCAGGGATGTCTGCCCTCCATCTCCCCCACTTCCCTCACCCCAAGGTGGATGGTTTTGGCCAAGTCCCGCACACCTTTCCCTCTGCTGAGCATGTGAGTTCCGGCACTTACTGCTTCTCCAGCAACTGCCCTCGAGAAGGAAAGAAGGCAGAGCTTCCCCAGATCTGTAGCTCATACTCCTTTTGCAGGAGAATAATTTAAGAATTGCATGAAAACCATTTYGTCTATGTGTAAATTTGATTTTGGACCTTTATGCTTATTGTCAGCCACAGTGCTAAGAAATTGTGTCCATTATGGCAGAAAGGATGGAGCAGAGGTCACTACCATCACCTGGCTTATGGTTGTAACCCCAAAGGGAAGGTCATTTCACATCTTCACTCCAGAGGGATCAGGATCCCAATCACTGGAAATGCTTCAAGTAGCAATGATTAACTCTTGGTGGGCATCCTGGTGGTAGGTGCAGTCTGCTATGGGTATCAAATAGAGKGAGTAACTGTGTTGGTGGCTATGTGAAGTAAGAACAGAATGTCATAGGCCATAAAGAAAATTGCACAAAGAGGAATTTTCAAGAAACTGTGGTCACTGTTAAGTCATTAAGACTCCTTTTGAAAAGTGACTAAACCCACTGAAGCTCTGTCCCTAATGCAATTCACAAAGCATTTCTGGACACTGCAGGAGCATGTGCAGCAGAAATCAGCCCTCAAAGGCACACGTCCTTCCCCCACCCACATACCAGAAAGGGAATGGGGTACTCACCTTTATCTTGGTGCTTCCTATAAAAGCCATGACTGCCATGATCTTTTTTCCAGTGTTCTGCCAAAAATTTTCTGATTCTTCCTCCATGCTGGGACTGAAAGGTGTTTTCTGGCCTAGGAAGTGAAATCACAGAACCACAGAGGCTGTGTTTATTCAGCTCCCTTTTCCTTGCAGGAGCTGACAGGATGCTGGGTGAACTGGAGGAGAAGGCAAGAGGATGGCAAGAGTTGCCTGGGCTGTCAGGGCTGCCAGCACTGATGAAAATGGGTCCTGAGACACCCCTCACCCCCTCATTCAGCAAGGATGGTGGGGGTCACCCCTGAGCCAGGCCAGATCTTCAGCAAGTTGGCACACCTGGAAAGACTGGCAGTTTTCGAGTTACAGATTTTTCCATGGCTTTTCCAATCTCTCTGTTCCTGAAGCCCAGAGTCAGTAAGTACTGCTGGTCAGGRTGAGATTCGGCCCTCTCTGGCAACAGGTGAATTCCATGAGGATCTGCCACAAGGAAAGGAAAGTAATTTCCACTGTCACATTTCTTTTCATCTGTCAGAGAAGTTAACTTTTTGGAGACAAATAAGAGAAGTCTAAGAAGGAGTGAAATGGTCTCCAGAAACCTTGCCAAAAGACAGATGACCAAACCAACCCATCCAGCTCTAACTGGGCTTTGAAACTTAGGGTTCTGCAGCCTTTTGTATCAGGAGCTTCAACATTATTGATGCCTGAGACAAAGTATATTATACCCAATTCTCCACAGTGGTGTGATAGTGTCTGGAGTTCAAGCAGCTCCAACTCTCCAGCTCTCTCCGGCTCTTTTGAATTCAGTTCACAGTGCTTAAGGRCAGCTGAAGCCTGTTGTTACCTGTAAATATGTGCTGCACATAATCCGGGTTCTTTTCAGCAAAGGTTTTGTTGGCCTCCTGTATTTTGTCAGCTTTGTCCTCTTTCTCAAAAGGTGTGTACAGAACTGAAAAAGATCTTTCTCCACTGAGGGCTTCTTGAATCATAGCCTAAAAAGGGCAAAGAAATCATCCATTTCATGTTGGGGAGGGGCAAGTTAAAAAACCAAACAAAAGAATCAGGTGGTTTGGATGGAGACTCCACAAGCCTCCATCTTATGGGGGGAGACAGGGACTAGAGAAACAGTCCTTCAGATGGAAAGAAAAAGTGATTCCATGCACTCTGAAGGTTATATGACTGGAAGCTGGCAAATGTTGTCCCAAATTTCAATAGGAGCCAGAAGGAGCTCCCCCAAAAAGTACAGAAATTTGGCTCTGAGTCACCAGTGCCCTGGCAGCCAGGAGGGTCATCTGTGTCCTGGGGGCAACAGGGCGAGCATGGTCCKCTGGGCCAGGGAAGGTATTGTCCCTCTCTGCTCTGCACTGGGGTGGCCTCATCTCGAGTGCTGGGTGCAGTTTTGGGCACAGCAATAAAAGAAAGATATTAGAGAGCCATCAGAGAGCATCCAAAGCAGGGCCACAAAGATGGAAAACAGCCTTGAGGGGAAGCCTTTTGAGGAGCAGCTGAGGGCACATGATCTGTTCAGGTGGAGAAGAGGAGACCGAGGGGAGACTCATGGCAGTCTGAAACTTCTTGGTGAGGGGAAGAGGAGGGGYAGACACTGATCTCTATCATGAGCAGGGACAGAACCCAAGGGAATGGCCTGAAGTTGTGTCAGGAGAGGCTGAGGCTGAGTTTTAGKAACAGGTTCTTTGTGCAGAGGGTGCTTGGACACTGGAATGGGTCCCTSAGGAAGTGCTCAGAGCACTGAGCCTTACAGAGCTCCAGGAGCATTYGGGACAATACTCTCAGGCAAAGGGTGTGACTCTTGGGGAATGGCCCTGTGCAGGGCCAGGAATTGGTCTCAGTGATCTTTGTGGGTCCCTCCCAGTTTGGCACATTCTGTGGTTCCTCCCCGGACTGTCAGTTGTTACCTGCCAGTACAGCTGGATGAGGTCACTGGTCTCCAGCCCAGCACCTTCGGCCAGGACGTACAGACACTGTGCCACCATGGTGCTCCTGRGGACAAAAGTAGCAGAGAGGAGTGTGCAGGCAAAGGAGTGGGGCTGTGGCCATACTGAGAGGAGCCCCTATTCAAAGAGTGTCATGGGAGCTTTATACCAAAGCTTACACACAACTCTCAGTCCTTGTCCAACTTCTAGACAAGCAGCAGCAAACACATTTTTAGCTCGCTAAACTCTGCCAGCAAATAGCTCCAGATGTTATTTAGGGCTTCAATTGGGATTACTCATGTTACAACAACTGCGAGGACTGGAGCTCTGCTGCCCTTGAGATTGCATGTACAAAGCCAGTGCAAAGTTCCCATGGATTTGAGAAAAGCCTGGCTCCTAGAGGATGTGTCAGTGCCGAGAGCTGCAACAAAAGGGATGCAGAGGAGCCCTGTTGAAGCTCGAGCAGCAGAAGTACCTTGCAGCCTCCGCGTATCTATGCAGGCACCGAAAGCAAGCAGCTTGGCGCAGGTGATTGCAGAAGTGAGAGGGGTTCTGAATGATGCTCCTTGGAGAGAGAACAGGGATAGATAAGGTAAGGCTGGGATTTCTTACATCATTAAAGCTCCTGAGAATCAAGTGGTTACTGAGGCAGACACTGCATGCCCTTCTTTTCTACAACTCAATGCCACGTCTCAAATGTTAGGTGAACTCTCTCTGCCTCCTCTCCCTCTCTCTCCAGCTGTGATTGTTGAAAAAAATATTGCTAAAAATATTACTAAAATATTCATTTCATTGTGGTTTTATCCTAAATGCAATTGCATTTGGGTTTTGTGTATTGTTCTAGAAGGAAAAGTTCCAGGRGTAATACTCTCTCTTGCCTTCAGCATGGAGGTAAAATAAACAAAACTGCTACAGCACAAGGTCTTGTTAACTCCCAGCTCCTCAAAGAGGAGCAAAAAGTCCGACCCATCTCCTGGGAAAACTGCATCTCAAATGGATCAGAAGGGGAACTTGAGAGACTTGGAAACACACTCTGTACAAGGCAAAGGTGCTCCATGGGTGAACCTTGGCCCCTGTGTTAGACCCTTCACTTGAACAGATGCAATTCCAGGTACCAGATTTCCAGGCTTTAAGGCAATATGATAAAAGGTAGCAGGATAAAATTGGCAGCAGCTCAGCAGTGGGATTGRCAAGCAGGGTAACTTCTGATGGGAGAGGTGCCCACTTTTCCTCKGTTTTTGGCTCACCTGACAGAAAACTCCACCTGACAATACAGGTTGTGTGTATCCCTGCCAGTTGTGCCCAACGAGTGCCCTTGAGGTTCTCTGGCCACTCCTGGGCTTTCGGGCTCCCAGCCCAGAACTGGTGCTTGGAACTGCTCTGGAGGATGAACCCCCTGCATGTGTCTGGGATTCAGATAAGCTGTACCCAAGGGCTCCTTGCCTTCTGCAGGATCAAAGCAGTGAACGTGTMCAGGCCTCTTGAGGCTGCAATCTTCCATTTGGAGAACTGGCCCAATCTAAACATCGRTGCCATGTATAAGGTGTGTTTTCTTGATTCCTCTTTTCTTATTGATAGTCTGGTTCTTCCKGCACAGCATTTATTCCTAGTCTTTGTTTCATTTTGGATTTCAGTTTTAGCAGTGAAWCTAATCCAGATTTTCTCTTACCTGTGTGAATGATGCAGAGCAAGACCAGGCTGCCCCAGTTTTAAGTAGCAGATGACGAGCTTTGACTCGATCCAGCTGGCAAACCTGGAAATATCATCTGGAGTGGGTTTGAAGGGATCCTCTGTAGCAAAGCCTTTACTGCAAAGCTGCACATGAAACAAAACCATGACTTCCTAACATCATAATACACCATTTGTTAGACGGAAATGCTTTTTTGTGACTGATCAGTGGAGGAAACTGAAGTCAAATAGACTCTGGCTTTCACTAAAGTCAGCATTACAAAAATCAGTACAGAGGACAAAATTGTCTTTCAGGGGTGTTCTGGATTTGCTTCTGAGGACAGCTGGATTAAGAGACTACTGAGAAGCCCCAGCCCTACAATTCTGTGATGTCCCAAGCACTCCATCCACAATCCCAGGAATGAACTCCTTATCTTTTTCTCCAGTATGTCCATTTATCAGCCTTTCCATTTGCTCTTAGGAGACAAGTCCTCCTTTCTTCTTAAGYGACCAGTGGTTCTGCCCCTACCACAAGCTCATTTCTGAATACAGGTGGCAAAAAGGCCCCTAAACAGGATGACACTTAATCATTTTACTCACTGGCTGTTATAATATTATCACTTACAAAATTACTTGAGTATTGTAGAAAACAGAATTAGGAATAAGATATTTGCTTGTGAACCAGAAAGTCCCAATATTTGACAAAAGCTTTTGAATGAAGTTTGGCAGGATAGTGCTAAAACAAGTGGAGTTGGCCYCTTTTTCAGGATGTCAAGTACCTGGCTGAAGGGATTGGGGTCAGGGTGGAGAGGAAATCTTTGAAAGAGTCCAGAGGGCCAAGCTTGCAAGTCCTGTATTCGCATCACCAMCCATATTCCTGTAAAGCAGCTAATGGCTCTTGGTTTTGCTTCTTTCTTTGATTTGGGAAAGAGACAATGGCCTTGAAAGTCCTTAGACCTCTTAATTTTCAGATTTCAGGTGAAATTTATCTTAGGATTTCTCTCCAACCCTAGGCATACCAGGTTGGTGCTCCTGGTTCCCTGTGCTATGACTGCTGCAGGGAGTGCCAGGATAGCCCTGCCATGGCTTTGTTGTGTGGTTGCAGCCTTTCAGCCCCGTACCTCCAGTGCTGTGGAGAATTTGGCAGCTGCTGCTGCAAAATCCTGCTGCCTGTACTGAGCTCTGCCTTCTCGCAGGACCACCTGGAGCCCCGTGCCAACGCGGTGCCACAGGCTGTGCCCTGAGGCTTGGGCAGGAGGCTGAGCCGCTGTTGGTGGCACTGTGGGTACCATCAACTCGCCAGATTCCAACTCAGTGTCTGCCTCGTCAGCGCACATCAACTCCGCTTCTATTTCCCTGAGTCTGGAGAAAGGGATGTGCAGTGCCGGGCTGGGCAATGGCCCTTGGCTGCTCTCGGCTGGTGTTTCTGCATTTGTCCGGGAGAGATTGCCATGGCTTTCTGCTTTCTGTTTATGGTTCACTCTGTCTGCGTTACTCCAGAGCTGTTCTYTGTGTTCTTTTGCCTCCTGCCACGCCTGCAAGAGAAGGAATGGGAGGTGAGAATCATGGGATTTAGTCTTTTCAGAGAATCCCAGAATGGTTTGGGTGTGAAGTTACCTCAAAGATAATTTCATTCCAAACCCCTGCTGCAGGCAGGGACACCTTCCACTATCCCAGGTTGCTCCAAGCCCTGTCCAACCTGGCCTTGGACACTTCCAGGGACAGGGCAGCCACAGCTTCTCTGGACAACCTGTGCCAGGACCTCAGCACCCTCAGAGCCAAGAGTTTCTTCCGAATATCCAATCTAAATCTCTTTCAGCAYGAAGTCCTTGTCCTTGTCATGGTCTGCCTTTGCAAAATGCCCCAGGAGAGCTCTGTTAGGTTTCCAGATGGGATTTCTCACAATGTTTTACCATGGATTTTAGCACCAAACAAGATGACATGACGGAGCATTATGTTAAAATTAGTTGCCTTGCATTCTTTTAACTTTTCTGGATGCATTGGCATAAATAGATTTCAAGCATATTATTAAATTAAATTAAAGTAAATTAAATTAGATTTAATTTTCTTCATTAAAATGAAGAAACAGAATGAAATAAAATGCAGTCTCTGGGGGGAAAAAAAAGCTGTCCACAGYGCTGCAGTGGAGATCTAATGCCCCTTTTCTACTTGATCCTGCTAGGGGGAGGACAGGTATTCTTTCGTATTCCAAAGCATCATCTGAGATGCCACTTCTAATCCCAACAGAATGGATGTTCATTCATGGAGAACCAATTTCAAAATCAGCTTAAACATACAAAATCTATTTCTGCACTGAGCACATTGCTTGTGCTTGTGCTTAGGATGTATTATTGTGATTCTGATGAAATTAATTTGTGGTGTCTGAGATCAAATTMTTGTTATAGCTGAACATGTTCACTGTCAAAGATGCTGTTAAACCGACCAAGCAGAGAAAAGAAGYCTTTTTTTGGGGTGCACTGGGGATCCAGAAATCGGGCACAGAGAAATGAACCACACTCAGGAACAGAGAGGGGACCCATGGCCCAGCRGCTTCCCCCTTGCAGGGTTCCTGCAATTCCTTTGCCTAAATCCCATTTCAAACCAGTCTTGAGCCAGCTCAGCACAGTTGTACTTACCTCAGGGTCTCTTGAGAAAGCTCCTGGCTGAGAAAACATGTGGGAAGGGAACTGCTCGCTCAGTCCAAGCTCCTGGGTCACCTGGAAAAACACAGGGAAGAGCATACTCAGGATTATATGGCTGTCCCTGAGGCACTTGCTCCTAAATGCTTTCCCAGCCTACCCCAGCTYAGGAATTGCAGCTCAGCTCTTCTTCCCCTCCTTGGGAATCCTTTCAGCCCTGGGGTTTGAAAATGGAACAAACAGAACATGTTGGAAGGTGTCTTACTTGATGAGAACACCAGAAGGGAAGAGCCATSCAGCCTGGCCTCGAGCACTTCCAGGGTGACCTCTGTTTGGGCAACCTGTGCCAGGGCCTCACCACCCTCCTCACTATTCCTCCTCCAGGGAGGAATTTCTTCCCAATATCCAATCACACCCTACCTTCTGTCAGTTGTAAGCCATTCCCCCTTGTCCTGTCCCTGCAGGTCCTTGTCCAGAGTCCCTTCCCAGCTCTCCCTGAGTCCCTTCAGCTGCTGGAAGGAGCTCTAAGGTCTCTGCAGAGCCTTTCAGGCTGAGTGGTCCCAGCTCTCTCAGCCTTTCCCACAGGAGAAGTGCTCCAGCTCCATGAGCACCTCCTGATCCTCCCTCTGGGCTCCTCTGGGCCACAAGGAATCATCTGGGAGATGACTGGGATAAACCAATGGCAGTCTCTGGGAAGGGCTGGTGAACTGGGCTGTTGGGAATGCAGTGAAAACCTGCTCCTTCATCAGTGCCCATGCTGACAGGAGGAGATGTGAGTGTGCCCCRGCATGGCCAGGAGCCCCCGTTCCCTGCTGGGCCTTGTCCCCAGGGCTAGCACCAAAGCTGCCACCAGCTCYGGAGCAGTTCCCAGTAATGCCCTGTTGCTGCCAAAGGGAACCATTCCCCATGGGATGGCTCCGGTCCTCACAGGGCCCCTCTGGGCCGGACACAGGGAGAGCTGCCCCTTCCCCACTCACCTGCCAGGGCTCCAAGGTCGTTCTGGCGGTTACTGGGCTTCAGTTCCACATCCAGGGCAGTTGGAGAGCCCTTGCCCCGGCCCAACTGCCCCCTGCCCTGGCACCTGCCCCCCAGCCCTTCCCCACTGCTCAGGGCCCCATGGCCCAGGCACCCCAAACACCCCGGGGGCACTTTGGGCACCGCTCCTGCTCCACAGCTGCTGCTTGGGAATGTGGTGATGACTCCGTGGCCACTGAGGGCACTCAGGAGATTCCAAGGCAATCACTCCTTCCTCCCTTGGCCTTCATGAGCAGCTGCTCAGGGGGTCACACTGGGCTGGCCTCATGCTTGAGCTTAAGATGATCCCAAAGATCATTTTCCTCTACGAAGAGCAGTTGTCACTGTGCAGTTGGTGGCTGCTACTGAAAGGGGTGTGACCCAGCTCTTTTATTTCAGGCCCYGTTGTCAGAGCTGCTGAGCACAGCTCTGCTGAAGTTAAACACAGGCTTTGGAGTCAATTGCTTTGAAAACCAAACTCAGAATTGGTAAAAGCTCTTGTCTCCGGCTGCTCTTGTCCAGAACTGGATTTAAGATTATTTTAGATTTTCACATTAAAGGCATTTGAGTGGCTTCTTTGTTCAAGTATTGCCGTCAACTGAAGTGATGCATTACGATCAATTTTATTTATGCCTTATCTTCAAGCCTGGGCATATCTGATGTTAATGAACYTAATTTTTAAATTTACCTCAAAGTTTAAATAAATCAAAGTGTCTTTTTTCAGAGCAACAATATAATAGATCTCTGGTGCCATCTGAGCAGTTTCTGATTCCATTCCAGTTTTGATCGTGACTCTGTGAAACAGAAGGCTTAGGATGGTATCTTGAGCTGAAAAGGAAAGTGCTGATAGTAGGATGTGTGCTGGTAAATCRATGAGTGCAGYTGAAGGTGCWGGCAGCAAGCGCTTTCTCGGCTGGYACTTTTGTGAACTCTGGTTTTGGTGGCTATTTCAGGTTTGTAGCTGGACTCTGCAAGAGTGAAAAGATTTGTTAGAGCAAAAGAGTTCATGTTGCCCTTTGAGTGTGATGGGAATAAGAGTTTTCAGTTGGAAGGGGAAGATCAGGGCAATCTTTTTGTCCTGACACAGTCGATTTGAGAGCAGGGACGTTTGCRACTTGCCTCTGTCCTTGGGGTGGTTTYGAGCTGGGCTCGGTGCGTTTCRTTCTTTTGCAAGTCRACATYGCCATYGTGCAGTGGYRTTGATGAGYGCTGCCRGTGCCCCGGTAAAAGCCAAGCGCCTTTCTGGCCTGACCCTGTTTGTGTGCGAGAGGTTCGCCCAAGTGCTCCGTGGTGGATCCTGGCTCTTGGAGAAAGATAGAATGTGATCCTGCATCTAGCTGGGAAGGAAGAGGAATCGTTTCATTGTAGGCTGTGCAGTTTATAGGCTGCAAAAGAAAAGTGAATTCTATCAGGGCATCTTTCTTCTGCAACCCTTTCTATGAGACCAGCTGCTGAACGTTTCTAGTTTTGCAACTGGACTCTGTGAGACTGAAAGTGCTTGAGGGTCCATCTAGCTGTGTGTACCGCACTTTCTAAGCTGCAAGTGGGAAGTGAGGGGCAGTGCTTACTTTTTGATCTCRGAGCCTTGGTATGGCTGCTGGACATACTAAGTTTGAAAGCTGGCCTTGACAAGAGGGAAGGAATGTGATGGAAACTGAGTAGGAAAGTGCATAACTCCAAAGGAGTGTGTTGCTTTCCACAGGATGCAAGTTCAATGTGCAGGCTGCAAGAGCTTGCTAAGCACACACCTTTTGCGACCAATAGTTACACTTCATATGGTTAATTTAGGTTCATGAGCTCTTCACAATTCCAAGAAGGAAGCAATCTTCCTTCCAAACTCCTTCCAAACAAACTCCTTCCAAGAAGGAGTTTGAAAGAAAGACTCATATCCAGTGTGTTGATAACCTTCAAAATGAATGTGAAACCCAGCCTAAATGTTTCCAGATGAAAATGATGGAGCTGAGCTCAGAGAGAGAACAAAATTTCAAATGCATATGCAGCTAAACAAACAAGCATAATACCAGTGTGTGTTGCGCATTCAAAGCTGCTTTCTTTTCTGTGAGATAYACCTGCTTGTACTCGATGACACAGAAAGTGTTACTCTGCTTTGTATCCTGCAATATCTCTGTATGACATTGTATCTTCCAGCAGATAAAGTACATCATACCAGGACACCCGGATGGACATGTTTTCACTGTGCTTAGTTCCTTGACAATCTGCCAAGTAGAGGTCCCCTGGTTACTTTGCTCTCTAGTTTTCCTCGGAAGGAAATCAGCTAGCTCTGTTCACATGAAAGCATGAGCACAGTGATACAYATGATCTATATCAAAGTGGCAAAGTGCTTATGAGGCCTACTAATTGAAAACTTTCTATAGCCTTTTTATATGTTATCAATATAAGAATGTAATATCTTTTTACATATTATTATAATACAATGTAATCACTTTCAATATATTATCAATGATAGCTTTATATATACATATATATATTGCTATAAGTTTTTTTAGTGTATTAGCAATATGTAGTATACCAGCTGCATAATCTAACCAGCTGGATTAGTATACAGATAAGTGAAATCACCAAGAGGCATAAATCAGATAAGTTCTGAAGAAAGCAGACAGGTGGATGCTATAACAAGGAACAGTAGAGAGCACTAATAAGAACTGGGCAGAAGCACGGGACAATCAGCAAAATAATTGGAAATGACCACTTGGAGGACTAGAAAAAACCCATGAACATCACAACTGCGCATGCCCTGAAGACAAAGGTTAAAAGTCCACCATGATGAAGAGGATGGTATTTCATTAGAGGGAGACCCMCRCSACCACCGAATTGAGGATGACACATGCACACTTGTAAAACTGTGATATCGTGTGCCCGTGTATGGTGGGCGTATGGGGGGCAGTGACAATGTTCATGTTACACCATGCTTACGACATAAATATGTGCCAACTTGAAGCACAGGCAGGTGGGTTAGGAGGAGAAATCCCCCTCACCTCCAGCGCTGCAAAAAACAAATACCTGCTCTATAGACACCGGTCTATGGGGTTTTATTTCTAAGCCTTTTCGGGCATCAACAGCTCTGTAGATAGCTCACTAGCAACTGTTCTCAAGATATCACGGAGCAGCCTGCACTCTCTAGGTTGTGCTTACTGTAGTTTTTAACCTTAACAATGGTTGGCTCCGCACAGGGCCAGGAGGATCTGAAGAGTGGCAATGGGTGGCTAGCCCAATTGAACCTAAAKGTTGAGTCATCACCCTAAGTGAGGTGCATAATGGGATGGGATTTGGGACAAGCGAGCAAGTCCATGAGCCTCTGTGAGGGGCTGCTGGCCCTGCCCGTGTCGCTGCTGAGAGCGGGGAGCCAAGGTCGATGTTGTCCTGGTGCTGCTGGGTGGCCGCCTCTGCTCCCCCGCTGCCCTCCCTGCAGYGCGTACTCGATTCCGGACAACGTGACTGTCCCCGCTCGGTGCCGTGCCGTCCGCTCCTGCCCAATGCCGCGCTGCCCCGAGGCGTTTTCCTGCCTGTCTCATTGGTCCCTTTCTGGGCAAGAGACCAACGAGACACTGAATGTGGAGATGAGCTGTCAGCGGGAGGAACTTGTCTCCATTGGTGACCCTTTCCCCCCACCCCCCCCAGTTCAGTTTCCTTGTGCTAGGTGCGCTGGTGCTTGACGCTGGCACATGTGGTGCAGGAGACGAATGCAAGGAGCTTTCTGTGATATGTGGCAGGGTAGGAGGGTATAGCATCCATAGCTGAAGGCAAAAATGGTCAGGGCATGCCGTCAGGCACACTGCTGAGTTTGCAAAGTGTTAGCTCCTTTCTTAGCTAATAGGGGGTTTGCACCCGCCAGAACTGCACGTGGTCAGTATCCTTCACGTGACGTTTCTTCTCTCTAAACATTTCTCCTCTCCAAATGTATCTCTGTTGCAAACTTTACACATTCTTCTATTCCCGAGAGTTATTTAAGAAGAAACCTGGGGTATTTAAGGTGTCACAGTGTTGTCCCTGTTGTGCACCTTTGCGCCTGGCTCATAGACCATTTTCCCACAGCTGTGAACCAGAATGTGGGCAGATCCAAAACCAACCGATTTATCTTGCCTATTTGACCTTTCAAACTCTTCTTGTGTAGTTTTTGYATTACTTTTGTCCATAATATGTGAAATTATTTACCAGGTAGTTTTAAATACAGCACGGATCTATAATTTTGTCTTCGAAATTTGAAAGTGAGTTTTATTTACATTTAATAKTAGTTTGTGAGTAGCATGGCAATCAAGCCTTAAATGTGCCAATCACGCTTGTAAATAAACGTATATTATCAGTTAATCTCTTCAATATAGTCGTGTTTAYATGGGATTTTATTCTCTAAACAGSAGATTGAAAGGAGAAGGGAATGTCTTTACAAACAGACTCTGTCTCTGGTCTCTGGGGTGAGATAAGGCTGATGCTGGGAGATAAGAAACAACAGGGAGGATTTCCATAGGAATTCCTTATCTATGACTATGTAAATAAACTGCCAGGGCAGAGACACAGAAATGTAAACTGAAAGGGAGGGGGGGCAATTTATGATAGAAGGGGGGTTTCATCAGATGTTTCGGGGAGTCTGTACCTCTCAAGTACCTCAGCCAATGGGGAAAGAAAGAGGGAACCGCGGCAGGGAAATTGGGATAAAAGGAGGCTGCGTCCTCTATGAATTTGAGAGACCCCATGGGAAATGCCCATGACCTCTCCCTTTATTCATGAATAAAGTTGYGGGACTCCTCTGTCTCCTTTTTGGACATAAACCTCTGGTGCTTGTGGATTAATTTTCCTTACAATTTGGGGGCTCGTCCGGGATTCTTCCACCGTCCGGAGGCGGCGGGCAGCAAGTGGAGCTGAAGGCGCGC